AGTATCATTGGCTCTTGATCATATGCTACCTCTTGAAATGCTTGAACATTAACCATTTCCTTTTGGTATAGTGACTCTGTGTATTCCTTTCATCCTGATGATTTCTGCATCATTAAGTAATTTGCCCAGTGAATCTTTCAATAAAGAAAGTCAAGTCTTCAGTTTCCCCAGCTCGAGAAATGCTGAGCGTGTTCTTCCTTTTTGGTTTTCTGATTCCAGATCTTTGCACATTTTGTTGTAATATTTGGCTTTATCTTCTCTAGCTGATCTTTGAAATTTCTGTTCAGCTCTTGGACCTCCTCATTTCTTCCATCTGCTTTACCATCTCTACGTTGGAGAGCAAGTTTCAGTGTCTCTTCTGACATCCATTTTGACCTTTTCCTTCTTTCTTGTTTTCTCAATGACTTTTTGCTTTCTTCATGAATGATGTTCTTGATGTCATCCCACAACTCTTCTGGTCTTCGGTCTTTAGTCTTTAATGTATCAAATCTGTTCTCCAGATCATCTCTAAATTCAGGTGGGATATATTCTAGGTCATATTTTGGCTCTCATGGACTTGTTTCCATTTTCTTCAGCTTCAGTTTGAATTTGCATATGAATAATTGATGGTCTGTTCCATGTTTTCACTGATGATATGGATGTTTTCCATCTTCTCTTTCTGCAGATGTAGTCAATTTGATTTCTAGGTATTCCATCTGGTGAGATCCATGTGTATATTCATCTCTTATGCTGTCTAAAGAAAGTATTTGAAATGAACAAATCATTGGTTTTGCAGAATTCTATCATGCATTCTCTAGCATCATTTCTATCAATCACTAAGGCCATATTTTCCAACCACTGATCCTTCCTCTTTGCTCCCAACCTTTGCATTCCAATCACCAGTAATGTTCAATACATCTTGATTGCATGTTTGATCGATTTCAGTTTGAAGAAGTTCTATTTCATCCTCACTGGCTTTAGTGGTTGGTGCATAAATTTGAATAATAGTGGTATTCATTGGGCTTCCCTGTAGGTGCATGGATATTATCCTATCACAGACAGCATTGTACCTCATGA